AGGGAGAGGAGGACAGTTGTAGGAATTTCTGAGGTCCCAGACTTCCCTCTGGCACTTCTAGCCTCCCATTCCCAGCACTTAAGCTTCTTGGTTTCCTGATCAGGAAGCACTTAAAACTCCCTTCAGTAAATTAACACTTGCCTGAACACACAGGCATTCTTATGTATATCCAAGTTTCTAGTTTCATGCTCCATGTATCTGGGTCCCCCCCTTATGTCAAGTTTCTCCTAACTTTTTAAGCTGGTGTAACATGCTCACTATAAGGCCTTGCACATGAAGGGTGCGCAATAAGGATTTGCTGGATAGGCCGGGTGCAGTGGCTCATGCCTCTGATCTTAGCCCTTTGAGAGGCTGAGGTGGGAGGATCATTTCAGGCAAGTTCAGGACCAACCTGGGCAATATAGTGAGACCTCATCTCTAAAAAAAGGAAAAATTTAAAAAATTAGCCAAGCATGGTAACATGTACTGGTTATCCTAGCTAACTGGGAGGCTGAGGCAGGAGGATTCCTTGAGCCTAGAAGTTTGAGGTTGTAGCAGGCTACAATGATGTTACTGCACTCTATCATGGGCAACAAAACACAACCTGCCTCAATCGGGTGGTGCCTATGGTTCAGTGAGTAGGGCGCCGGTGCCATATACTGAGGGTGGCGGGTTCAAACCTGGCCCCGGCTGAACTGCAACAAAAAAATAGCTGGGGGTTCTGGTGGGCACTTGTAGTCCCAGCTACTCAGGAGGCTGGAGGCAAGAGAATCGCCTAAGTCCAGGAGTTGGAGGTTGCTGTGAGCAGTGTGACGCCACAGCACTCAACTGAGGGCGATAAAGTGACTGTCTCTACAAAAAAAAAAAAACCTGCCTTAAAAAAAAATTTTTTTTTTCTTGCTGAATGAAAATTTAAAAAGAGTATATAAAGAGCATACATACCACAAATGTAAGTAAACTTATAGATTTCTATCTTTATACTTATATAATGACAGATGTTGAGTGATAGGTCACCAAAATTTTAATTACTGGTACCTCTGATAATTAGATTTTAAAAAATCCTTCTTTATTGATTTTTTATACTTGAACCTTTTTTCCTTATAAAGTTGTTTTTGATTACCAAATTACTTAAAATTAAAAATTTAGTCCATGTGCTAAATACAGTTCAACTAAAAGCCTTAACTCATTATGTAAAGCATATTTAGGATATAGGAATATCCATACATTTCTGTAAAAATAAATTTGTTCAAACAAATTAAAAACTTTAACTCTTGGACTAAATTTGGATATGTAAGAGTCCCCACCTAGAAATATAGCACTAACTCTAGGGGCCTCTAGTTATGATCGTAATTCAACAGAGCTTTCTAGAAGGAAGAAAAAAGTCTCTCCTCCTTTACCAGTTTTCTAGACGATCTAGACAGATGTTGGGAGGGCCTCCGATGCAAGCAATCTGCTGCCGCCTCTTCCAGTCAGCCAGCTCTTCGTCCGTGAGGGTTTTCTGCACATATTCCATTGCTGACAAAAGCCCCGCCAACTCACTCACAATGCTCTGGTTGGAAACCAAAACAAAATCAGAAAACATTTTCTCAGATCATCTCTAACCACATTCTTTAGTCAATTCCAGAGAAGGAACTTCCTAGAAACCAATTTCTGCCACGAGATGCTGAAATCCTGCAAGTAAGGAAGACAGAGGGGGGTGGGGTGAGCGATGGTCCTTACTCTCCGCATCTGGTCCAACGCGGTAAGCATCTGTTCCAGCTGTTGCATCTTCTGCCTGGTCACAGACTGGTTGTTTCCATTCAGATCCTGCATGTCTGAGGAGGAAGAAGAAACTCCTTGACCCGAGGGAATACTCCTATTCTTAATAATAAGGCTCCTTTAGGCACCAGTAACTCCCTTGCACCCTCCTACCACCATAAAGGCTAAACACGTAAGAAGTCCTCAAACTCATTAACACAAACTCACTTTCTATAGGAGATTCTAACGTCTCTAATATTCACTTGCCTCCTTGACTCTTGAGGGTTTTATAGTTGAAATCAAAGTCATCCTGGAGATTCTCTACTACTTTCATTTTCTGTTCTAGATCCTGTTTAAAACAAACAAAAGCAGAAGTCAAAAAAGATTTCCTTGGGAAGAGGGAAAAGAAAGTTTCTGAGAGTTAAAATAAAGCCAAGATCTCAAAAAAGGAACCACATGCAATGTCCCCAACAAAAGGCTCTTTGCCCAGGACTTGCTTTACCTGCACTCTCTTCCGGACATCCTGGAGGTGCTGCTCCAGCATCTGCTGCTTCTCTGTCACCACTGCAGCTGTGGGGTGGTTGGCCTGGCCCCCTTGCTGCCAAAAAAGGAGTCAACACACATGTAAACACATGAAATATGGGGAGAAAAATACCACTGTCCAGTCTCCATCGCACCCTACCTACCCATCCTGTTTGACTTGAAAGGCTACAGCCACCGTGGGAGGAAGGAAAACAGGCAGTGGTGCTATGGCCCCAGGGAGGCCCTCAGTTTCACCTGTGTCACAGGCTTGTTTCCCACAGTTCATCTGTAAACCCATTCTGTGTACCACACTAGGAAACCACATGTTATACTAAGACATGATCCCTGCCTTCAAAAAGTTCAGAGACTGGGCTCATGATTATAAGCCTAGTACTTTGTGAGGCCAAAGTGGGAGGATGGCTTGAGGCCAGGAGTTAGAGACCAGCCTGGAAAACACAGTGAGACTCTGTCTCTACCAAAACAAAACAAAAATAGCCAGGTGTTACGACATAGGCCGACAGACCCAGCTATTCAGGAGACTGAGGTGGGAGGATCGCTTGATCCTCCAGAAGTTCCAGGTTACAGTGAGCTACGATCACATCACTATCCTCCAGCCTGGGTAATAGAATGAGACTCTGTCTCAAAGGAAAAAAAGAAAGAATTAAAAAAAATAATAAGAATTTTGCCCCAAGGATAAAATTTCATATCAAAAGATACTGAATACGGTATCTTGAGGGAGAAGGAGAGGGTGGTAACTTTGAAAAAGTGAAATAGTGCATGGATTTTAAAAATAACACCCTCTGGCCTGTAGCACAGTAGTTACAGTGCTAGTCACATAGACCGAAGTTGGTGGGTTGAACCCAGCCTGGGCCAGCTAAAACAACAATGACAACTGCAACAAAAAATAGCCAGGCATTGTGGCAGGCACCTGTAGTCCCAGCACTTGGGAGGCTGAGGTAAGAGAATCACTTAAGCCCAAGAGTTTGAAGTTGCTGTGAGCTGTGATGCCAAGGCACTCTACCGAAGGCTACATAATGGGACTTTGTCTCAAATAATAATAATAATAATAAAATATAATACACTCTGCCTATGAAAAGTAATGAGACATCTTTTGACACCAAAGATCATACAAAAGCTACAGTGGTAAAGACAATATGGTTGTGGCTCTCAGTTCTGCTCCACTGTGGCAATCAATGGAGCAGAACTGAGAGTCAGGGAAAGACATTATCCACCCGGTTTTCGTAGCTAGAAATCCTCAGGTCTCCGACTTCTTCCTTGCTTTCCCACTGAGTCACCACTCCTCCTGGCTCTGTATTCTCAAATCTATCTCCCCTACCAGTGGCTCGAGTTCAGGCCCCAACTGTTGATTCCTTTCCTCTAATCTCTCACTTCTGATCTGTTCTCTACACTGCTATAGACATCTCCAGCATAGAGCTGAACATGCCATTTTTAGAGGGAACCACTCTCTCTCTCTTTCCCACTGTCCCTAACCAAGCCCACAGAATATAAACTTCTTACAAGTTCCAGGAAGGCAACTCCTACCCCTACATAATCTCCCCATAGTGGGAGTGACCCATCTGAGAGGGGAGATGGAAAGACAGAGGCTGTGCACATACAGATCTCCAGAGAGCCCAACACTTAAGCTGGCATCTCCCTCCTCTCACTCTCGCCTTCCTGAGGCACATCTGAGGCAGGAGCAAGAGCCTGTTTCTAGAAGCAGTTGTAGAGGCCTGTCCCTCTGCATTTGAGGGGTTTTAGTCTATAATTGCTAAAGCTCCAAATGGAGTCTGGGGAGGTGCTGCTGTGCAGACTCAATTTCACCACTCCAAGATCTAACTCAGGGGACAGGCGCTGGAAAGCCCCTACAGTTACCTGCTCAAGCCATGCTTTCCAGTCTAGTCTTACCAACAATACAGTTCATGTTTTGATCTATATTCCACTACCATGTCTATTTCTCAATTGGTACTGTACTTAAAAGAGTGAAACAGAAGTGATTAATTATCACCCACAGAAACCCACCTCTAATACCTTTGTAAAATCTTTATTGGCTCCCACTGCTTCCAAGTATAAACAGCCCAGCCCCACAAAGACATTTCACAACCTCATAACAACTTAATCTTTCCCTCCCTGAGCCTCAGTCACCCTGAACTACCCTCTCTTCCCCCCACACAGCCTGTTTCCAATGTTACCTCTCCACATGCTGTCTGCGCACCCTGGCACACACGACTGCCCAAGCATACCCGAACTTGCTCACCTTCAAATTCAGTTCAAATCTTTGCTTTTCTGTGAAATCTTATTCAACTTCCTTAGACAATATGACACACATCCTCCTCTGTGTTTTCTCACTTTGAATGTTTGTGTACTTATAATCCCAATTAGCCTGACAGCCCCCAGGTAGCAGGGATTACATCCTTTCTTCTTTCTAGTTCCTAGTACTTTTACTCATACCAGACACTTAAGAACATGACAAGGCCAGGCACAGCGGCTCATCCTTGTAATCCCAGTACTTTGGGAGGCTGAGGTGGGAGGGTCACTTGAGGCCAGGAGTTTGAGACCAGCCTGAGAAAAACAGTGAGACCCTGTCTCTACAAAAAATTAAAAAATCAGCCAAGTATGGTGGTGTAAAGTGATAGTATCAGCAATTCAGGAGGCTGAGGCAAGAGCATCACTTGAGCCTGGGAGTTTGAGGTTGCAGTGAGCTATAAAGTGAGCTGCTGTACCTCAGCCTGGGCAACAGAATGAGACCCTTTCTCCAAAAAAAGAAAAGTATTTATAATGTTTTTTTTTTTTTTTTGGAGACAGAGCCTCAAGCTGTCCCCCTGGGTAGCGTGCTGTGGCATTACAGCTCACAGCAACCTCCAACTCCTGGGCTCAAGCGAGTCTCCTGCCTCTGCCTCCCAAGTAGCTGGGACCACAGGCGCCCGCCACAACGCCCGGCTATTTTTTGGTTGCAGCCGTCATTGTTGTTTGGCGGGTCCGGGCTGGGGATTCGAACCCGCCACCTTAGGTGTACGTGGCTGGCGCCTTAGCCGGTTGAGCTATAGGCGCCGAGCCTATAATGTTAAACCATCCTTGCATTCCTAGAATATTAACCACAAGAATGCAAACATTCTAACCACTTTCTTTACTTATACTATGTTTGCAGATTTTAATATAAGGATTACATCAGCCTTACAAAATAAGCTAGAAACATCTCTTGTTTTTCTATACTGTGGAAGAGTTTGAACAATATCATAACCACCTGTAACTTTCATGTTTGTTGGAACCAAAGTTTTAAACCATTGGGCTTATTGGCTTTTTTGGGTGGGATAGGAGGTATAAATTATTAAGTCTTTTTCAATGTATTTTTATGACTACTGACCTATTTTCTCCTTCTCTTTAAAGTATATTTCTATTTCATTGCATTATGAAGTTGTTTGGTTTTCCATTTCTCCCAGCACGGTGCTTTGTTCCTTTTCAGGTCTCACCTGGGCTGCAGTGGCTGCAGTCTGGAGGAGGCGGTTCTCTTCCCACAGGCACCGGGCCACGATGCGGGCAATCTCCATTGGCTTCTCAAGATACCTGCTCTGTAAGTAGGAAAGAAAGAGGGTGAAAATCAGCAGCAGATTAGGAAGATGTGAATAGAATTTTGCTAACGTAAAACTAATTTCCTGGTCAACTGAGGAAAGCATGACATTTATTATTACATGAAACAGAACAAAGGCCTTGAAGCCTAAGTGCAATCAGTGGAGGATGGAGGATAAAGGGGAGAGAAAAAGAAAGGTGATGAGTTAAGATGAGCTATACTACTGGGAGAGAAGGCACATCAGTCTTAGTTTTTGGACTGTGAATTACCCTCAGCTTACAGAAAGGTACCTGATTTAGTCAAGGAGTATTCCATTAAGGCCAGTGGGAATCATCTTGTTTGAGGGGACCAGTTACTATTATGTTATTAACATGCTAACATAGTAAGATAAATCGACATAACAATCACCATGACGTCTACTGTGACAAGAGAAGTGAATCTCAGGTTATGGTGTTCCAGGGTAAGTTTATAGAAATTTGAGAAAGGGCTAATTACTTCTTTGAAAATACAAGATAGGTTCTGATTACTTAGCAAATAGAGAAAAGAAATGTTCCCAGGGAAAAAAGCTATCACCCTACTTTGTAGGCCCAGTTTCTCCTACTGAGCTTCTTATCACACCTGAAGGAATTGCTTGATTCTTCGCAGATTGTGCTGATAGAGAACATTCGACTCTTGCAGGAACCGGCTATACTGCTGGTCAATCTCACCCAATAGATTATGAAACACCAAAGTGGCATGTGATTCCTTGCTGGCGGCATATGCCCTAAGAAAAAGAATAACAATAAAGAATGATTCTGTCACCTATACACACACACACACACAACACAACACACTGTTGAGAGAAAAAAAGAAGACAAATCTGATCATCATTTTAGAGTCTCTTGTTCAGCACCAATAAATGTCATCAATTTGATAATTGTTAACAATTATTCCAAATATGATCAGCCACTTTCATTGTCTATATTTATAAAATATTTGAGCAAGATAGACAGATAATGCTGTTTTGCTTTAAATTCTCAGTCACCTCTCAGTAACTGGTCAGATCATTAGCATAAATAAACAATCCCAAGCTGCCATGGGCTATCTCCAGCATCTCTAAATCACCTTTGTGGCCCTTCACCAAATCAGTGTATGTACACTAGAAAAATTAGGTCCTAATAACATTGCTCTGAATTAAACCACAATTAGTAGGTGAATCTGAATACATTAATGTGAAGGAAATAGTTGCTAGACTGTGAGATTATCTCCTCCATGAATGAAGTCTATTTCCCTCATCATGAGTATAGACCCAAACTTCTACCTAACTGAATTCTCACTCATATGAAAACTATTTCTATACCTCCAGGGTATCAGAATACACAGAGGACCTCCTCAAGTAAATGAGGAGACTCAAATCAACCTTCAGAACATCTACCACCAACCAGGCTGTTTCAATGTGCCAAAAGACAGTTGCCCACATGTCCTTCTAAGACAGAAAATGCTTTACCAGACTAAAGGAGCTTCTCTTTATCTCCTTGTCACTTTTTTCCTGTCACCTGCACCCGTGAGTTTTTCAATGAAAGAGTTAGCAAAGTGTGAAGTTAGGACAGATCTCTTGACTCAAACCAAAAACAGATGCTGGGATTTGGCACACAATTTGGGGAATTTCCCAAGAAGGACTTACCAGTCTTGACTCTCAATCCAAGGGGCCAGAAACTGCCGTAGCTCCATGGGAAAGCTGTCACTGTACAGCTGATGAAGCTGCTCCAGGTACCGTGTGTCCAGCTGCTGTAGCTGATTCCACTGGGCCATCCTGCTGGAATCAAGGGTCCCAACTGTAAACCAAAGTGTTCATATGGTCACCACATGCCCCAGTAGGAGTAGACAAACTAGAAATACCCCATCTACCCAACACAGCTGTCAGGTCTGTAGGGATAAAGATGCTCTGGGAAGGATGCCTACATGTTTCTCCCAGTTTAGGACATGACATACATATTCACCATCTCTACCTCTGGAAGGAACATCACTATTTATTTTAAACTGAGATGACAAGTAAGTATGATACCAATTTCTAGAATCTATGATCTATCAGAGATACGGAAAGTTCAAAAATTAACTTCCAGATTTCTGTATTTCCTCATCTATAAAATATAGATCCTAATTCCCATCCTTCAGGGCTACTGAGATAATATTCCTAAAGCACTCAGCTCAAGCTAGGAATGGTGGCTAATGCCTGTCATCCCAGCTACTTGGGAGGCTGAAGTAGTGGATAGCTTGAGCTCAGAAGTTCAAGAGCAGCTCGAGCAAGAGCCAGACTCCATCTCTAAAAATAGCTGGGCAATGTGGCGGCCATCTATAGTCCCAGCTACTCAGGAAGCTGAGGCCAGAGGATTGCTTGAGCCCAGGAGTTGGAGTTTGCTGTGAGCTATGGATACCACAGCACTCTACCTAGGGTGACAAAGTAAGACTCTGTCTCCAAAAAAAAGGTATGCATACATATAAAAAAGAATTTCTAAATATAACTATGAGCAAGAACTAAAGATTGAGTAATATATGTACAGACCAAGATATATTAAGATAGTTCTGGCTCAGCATCTGTGGCTCAAGTGGCTAAGGTGCCAGCCACATACACCTAAGGTGGCGGGTTCGAATGCAGCCCAGGCCCACCAAACAACGATGGCTGCAACCAAAAAATAGCTGAGTGTTGTGGCGGGTGCCTGTGGTCCCAGCTAGTTGGGAGGCTGAGGCAGGAGACTCTCTTGAGCCCAGGAGTTGGAGGTTGCTGTGAGCTGTAATGTCACAGCACTCTACCCAGCCGGACAGCTTGAGGCTCTGTCTTCAAAAAAAAAAAAAAATAAGACAGTTCTCTGGGACAGTGAGAACATTTAATGAAAGACTTGAATACACATAAACACGCTCAACTAGAGTTCTTGATTTATTTCTCAGAGAAGGTATGAAGAAGTGCCTAATCACGCATCAATGCTTTCATAAAAATGAGTGAGCCAACTGGTGACAAAAACCACAGGTCTTCTGTCCTCAAAGCAGCAACAACGATGGCTGATCAGTGGTTCAGGATCAGGTTTTCTGGCAATTCTTCCTCCCTCTTTGGAAAGAACAGACACAGAATGATCCCCTTGCTACTGTGAAGATGGCATCAGTTGGTCAAGGTCTTAAGCGCATGTTGAGGAAAGCATGGGCAGTATCTCTCAGCAGTCCTTGCATTGACCAAATAACAATCCATAGCATCAGTGTCCAGTAGAAATAGATTACAAGCCACATAGCCTATTTTATTTTATTTCTTTGAGACAATCTTCCTACGTTACCCTCAGTAGAGTGCCGTGGCGTCACAGTTCACAGCAACCTCAAACTCCTGGGCTTAAGCAATTCTCTTGCCTCAGCCTCCCAAGTAGCTGGGACCAGAGGCGCCCATCCCAATGCCCAGCTATTTTTTGGTTGTAGTTGTCATTGTTGTTTGGCAGGCCCAGGCTGGGTTCGAACCCGCGAGCTCCAGTGTATGTGGCTGGCGCCCTAGCCACTGAGCTATAGGTACCGAGCCCACATATCCAATTTTAAATCTTCTACTAGCCATATTTGTAAAAAGTAAAAAGGGGCAAAATTAATTTAACCCAATATATCCAAAATGTTATCAATTCAACACGTAATCATACAAAAATTAGTAATGAGATACTTTCCACTCTTTTTTTGTACTAAGTTTTCTAAATCCTGTGGGTATTTCATACTTACAGCACAGATCTAACATGTTTTTCCCTCTCCCCAAATACCAAGGACTTAAATTCCACTGCTGAAAAGGCTCAATAAAGCAAAAATATGAAATGTTAGAATGGCACTCCTGCTTCACAGTCCAATACGGTAGTCACTAGCCAGACATGGCTCCTGAGAACTCAAAGTATGGCTGCTTTAAACAGAGATATGCTGGCTCGGTGCCTATAGCTCAACCGGCTAAGGCGCCAGCCA